ATGCAGGGAATTTGGAAAATACAGAGAAGAATTAAGGAAAGTTTCTTGTGCCACTACCATCCAGAGATAACTCTTCTTACGTCTGACTTATTTCCCTTCAGTCACTTTTCATGTGTATGTATACATACATTTATATTGTGATTGAGATTATACTGTATATACAGTTTTGCGTCTGCTTTTTCATTTGATATCTCATCTAATGAACATTTTTCTATATCAGCAAATACTCTGAAAACAGAAACTTATTACATGATTTGCATGTACAATAATTATTAGGCTTTTAAGATGTTTCCAATTTTTAACCATTATCAATAATCATATGACAAAAACTTTGTACCTAAATCTAAATTATTGATTGTTTTCTTACTAGAATTGCTGGTCTAAGACCATGGATTCTTTTAAGGGTATTAATGTGTTTTACCTTGTTTAAGTACTACACTAACTTCTAATCACGGGATATATAGCCATATTAGTAAATAACGTTACAAAGAAGTGAGATTTTAAAAAAGAATGCAAGGCAATATTGCACAGTGGTTGGAACGACCCCTTTAGAGGTGGACTAAGTAGTGTTTGTATCTGGGCTTGGCTACTTGGGTGACCTTAGGCAAGTCATTAAACTTCATATTTCCTCACAGAGAAACGAAAATGAACCTTTACAAGTATTTGATAGGATTGAGATCATTAATGTAAATGATGAATTTCAGTGTTTGTTATAGAGTAGGCATGCAGTAAATATTTGGCAGTGATATCGGGTTTTGTTGTGCTAGTTTTTGAATAATAGTAAAATTGAATATGTTATAAATGTTATTGATCATGTGTGTTTCTTCTGTAGATATTTTAAATATTTCTTATACTTTTTAATTGGAATTTTGATGGAGAGTTCAGTTAGTGTTTCATTAAATGATGCTTTTCATGTTTATTTGTCTTATTTTTATAAATATTTTCCTGTTCTTTACATTGATTTTAATTAATAAGCTTTATTTTTTAAAGCAGTTTTATGTTCACAGCAAAACTGGACAGAAAGTACAGAATTCCTATATATTCCCTGTTCCTTCCACACACAACCTCCCTCTCCCACTAGTGACATCTACATTTTGTTTTATTATGATATTTTTTCAAAATCAAAACGAATTTATTTTTAAAATACAAATACATACCTGTTTTAAAAAATTAGAAAGTATAGAAAAGAATGAATAAAGAACAGAGAAAACATTCCTGATCCTACCATCTGGAAATAATCAATGTTAATAGTTGGTATACATGTCAAAATATTTTTCTAAATTATAAAATGAAATCACATAAATCACATCATGCATGCTGATTTTTAATGTTTTCTCTCTTATCAATATGTTACAGTTTTAGATCAACAAATAACACTCACAAGTAGCCACATTATCAGAATAATAAGTGATGTAACCAAGCTTCTGTTGATAGCTTTCTTAGTTAGGTTTCCAGATTATGGGTTGCAAAGAAAGATTGTTTCTAGAAACCATGGTACAATGAATACTCTCACACAAACCTATATATTTTCAACATGTGATTTTTTTATGTGTAAAGGTTTTATATTTTTAATATTGTAAAATTTATTTTTTTCTTTGTGATTTTTCTTTTAAGAGGTGCCTTTTGGTTTGGAAAGTGCCTTTTGGTTTGGAATAGGTCAGTGTTCCACATTTTTTTCTAATCTGGCTTAAGGATTTTTTTTTTCTTCTTTTGGAATTTGTTTTAGTGCGTGGTATGATAGGAGATGCTAATATTGGAAGGGATACCAGATCAAAAATTTATTATAACTGCCTCTAGATTATTTTGTATTACATGTGATTCTGAAAGGAGAAACGTTAAGTCATTATTAACTCCTTTTAGACTGTTTCAAATATGGGTAGATTCTTAGAAGGAGAAGCAAATGTAGATTGAGCACTTGAGCTGAGCTTGGAAATTAGATAATCCATGCTCATACAGAATCTGGTGGGAAAGACAAGGCACAGAGCACAATTTAAAAGAATAAATTATAAACTAATGTATGCATAAAGGCTAGAGGTAGCTTCAAAAAATGTGCTGACATATTGAGAACTGCAAGATATTAATCAGGGCAGGCTTCCTTTGGGATGACATTTGAACCAAGATGAAAACAAAGTGAAGAATGAGGTGAACTAAAAGCAAGAGTTTTCCCCCCATATGTGTGAGCAGCTTGGTCCTTGGATGAACGATTTTTAAGGGGAGATTTCCATTAGCAAATCCAAATCCTTTCTTGACCAGGAAGGAAAGGCTACCTTGCCCACTGGAAGAATCCTTTTTTGAAAGGAATCAATTTCACATCAGGAGTCTTCAGGAAACAAACAAATCATTAACCTGAAAATGACTCATAATATACAAGAATTTTAAACTTTCCATTCTAACTCATTAGGCATTAGGGCATGAGGAGATGCTGGCAGTAGGCAGTAATTTAGAGTTTACTTAATACAAGGAAAGGAATATAATTTTTCTTGGATAAACATTCTTTCTGATCTTCAGATTTTGAGACTTGAATTGTCATCTAAGACAGAAAAGACAGGATATTTCCTGAAGAATATCAGCCATCACCAAAGGAGATTTTTTTTTTTTTTTTTTTTTTTGAGACGGAGTTTCGCTCTTGTTACCCAGGCTGGAGTGCAATGGCGCGATCTCGGCTCACCGCAACCTCCGCCTCCTGGGTTCAGGCAATTCTCCTGCCTCAGCCTCCTGAGTAGCTGGGATTACAGGCACACGCCACCACGCCCAGCTAATGTTTTGTATTTTTAGTAGAGACGGGGTTTCACCATGTTGACCAGGATGGTCTCGATCTCTTGACCTCGTGATCCACCCGCCTCGGCCTCCCAAAGTGCTGGGATTACAGGCTTGAGCCACCGCGCCCAGCCCAAAGGAGATATTTTTGACTCAGAATGAAGTACATGAAGACAGAAAGAAGATAGGGGGACTTAGCAGAATGGGTAAAGGTGAGCCTTCAGTGTCTACAGAGGGGTATATGTGTATGTGAAGCAAGTTGGTCTGCTTTCAGAATTTCAGAAAAACTTGGAAAGGAAGGGTGGAACATCGGAAATCATCAGTTTGAAACCAAAATGGACGGTTCCACCTTCACCACTTGAAGCCACGTACCTGCCCCTCCTCCACACAGAAGATTGGGGGCTTTCTCTTGGAAGAGACTGAACCAGAGAGCTGTGGTTAAAATAGAGGCACTAAAGTTAGAGTAGAAGGATTAAGAAAAAGTGTATAGGGAACATCCTCACCCCTCTATTGCCAGCCAGCGTCTGGACCTCTGACAGGGTTGTACACAACAGCAAGAAACTGGAAAATCCTTCTCTTGAGCAACAGTGTCCAGAGAGAAAAAATGACAGATATTGATATTTGAGAATCTTCCATGAGCAAGAGTGTCTTGCCACCCATTCACACTATACTAAAGCCTACTAATCTGGGGAAAATAAATGTACACAAGGCACATGGCATCATAATATGCCACATGGATAGCAAAGGCCAATATTTAAGTATTCATTCTAATATAAATACAAATATTAATTGAACCGCAAACTGAAATACTGATAATTACATTGACAAGCTAGAGATAGAAGGAGGGGAAAGGGGCATGGAAAAGAATTTAACCTTCATCTACCATAGAAAGTCAATAGAAATTCTTAATTGATGGAACAAGAGCTGGTATAAACATACTTACAAATATAAGAATTGAAAGTATTTGTCACTGCTTTGCGATTGCAGGTCAGAGGACAGAAGACCACTGTGTTTCATTATTATGACTTTTAGAACTTGTATTAATCAGGGTTTTTTAGAGAAATAGACCTAACTGGATATCTTCCCATCAGTCTATTTATCTTTCTACCTGTATATCTAGGTCTGCATCTAGACAGACATGGAGATAGAGACATGGATTTATTTGAAGGAATTGGCTCTGGCAATTGTGGAGGTTTGTTAAGTCCAAAATCTTCAGGGTAGGCAGGCAGACCGGAAACCCGGGAAAGCGCTGACGTTTAAGTGCAAAGGCACTCTGGAGGCAGAAATCTGTTTTGCTCAGGGGAGGTCAATCTTTGTTCTATATTTTTTTTTTCTTTTTGAGACAGAGTCTTGCTCTGTCGCCCAGGCTACAGTGCAGTGGCGAGATCTCGGCTCACTGCAACCTCCACCTCCCAGGTTCAGGCGATTCTCCTGCCACAGCCTACCCGCAGCTGGGACTACAGGCACCCACCACCATGCCTGGCTATTTTTTGTATTTTTAGTAGAGATGGGGTTTCACCATATTGCCTAGGCTGGTCTCAAACTCCTGACCTTGTGATTCTCCCACCTCGGCCTCCCAAAATGCTGGGATTATAGCCGTGAGCCACTGCACCCAGCCTCTTTGTTCTATTAAGACCTTCCACGGATTGGATGAAGCCCGCCCACATGGAGGGTAATCTGCTTTTTTCAAAGTCTACTAATTTAAGTGTTAATATTATCTAAAAAGCTCCCTCACAGAAATGTCCGGAATAATGTCTGGCCAAATATCTAGGCACCATGGCCCAACCGTGTTGACACATAAGATTAACTATTACAGAACTATTTTTATTTTAACTGTGTGCCATTGCACTGGTTATGTTAATTAAAAGAAACTGTTATAGAAATTAGGCCTAGGGTTTCTTCTCTGACAGCATAGTATTTGGCCTAGAATAAGCACTCAGTAAGTATTTGTTGAATGATAATGATAGTCTTTTAAAAAAGATTTGATCGTTATCATTTTGTCTTGTTCCTTAGGGAAGCCGTTTCTATTAGAGTAAGTTGTTATTCCTTTTTCTGTGTAACACTTGAGTCTTACAGTGTGTCTTGCAATTTCTGAAATATTTTCTTTTTCAAAGGATATAGTTGTCATTATACTGTTATGTTTAAGTACGGAGTTTAAGGTAATGTTAAGGTTATATAATAACAATATGCCCTAGTAGTAAGAACCTTCAACATCTATCATTTTTGTGTTTTCACCTCTCTAGATCTGAAATAGCTCAACTCAGTCAAGAAAAAAGGTATACATATGACAAATTGGAAAAGTTACAGAGAAGAAATGATGAATTGGAGGAACAGTGCGTCCAGCATGGGAGAGTACATGAGAAAATGAAGCAAAGGTAATCCAGGTTTAATGATCAACTCATGTGCCGGGTGCTGAATGTGTTTGGTTTACAAACAGAAGGGGAATTGCTATGGAATAAGTAGAATTCATCATCATTATGCTACTCAGCGAACATGCTCAAAATCTGGTACTTTTGTTTTAGGTATTTATGCTTCCTTAATTTAGGTTGTTATTATATACAAAGAGGAGAGCACATCCTCTTTCTGTTATTCTCTGAAGTCACAGAATTAGATTTAATATGGATGAAGGGAGGAAAACCATTTTCCTTTAAGGTATAAGTTGGCAATATTGTAATATGGAGGAATTTCAAATTATCTCTTCTGGAAATTAGGCTTTGTATGCTTTTTGTAAGGTAAGGTACATAGTAGGTCTAAAGAGGTTAAATATCTTATCAGAGGTTGCACTAACAGCATTGCTAGAGTCAGAACTTGACTACAAACAAACCCTTTGCTTCTTTCTTTTTTTTTTTTTTTTTTTTGAGACGGAGCTTCGCTCTTGTTACCCAGGCTGGAGTACAGTGGCACGATCTCGGCTCACCGCAACCTCCGCCTCCTGGATTCAGGCAATTCTCCTGCCTCAACCTCCTGCATAGCTGGGATTACAGGCATGCGCCACCATGCCCAGCTAATTTTTTGTATTTTTAGTAGAGACGGGGTTTCACCATGTTGACCAGGATGGTCTCGATCTCTTGACCGTGTGATCCACCCACCTCGGCCTCCCAAAGTGCTGGGATTACAGGCTTGAGCCACCGCGCCCGGCTCCCTTTGCTTCTTTCTAGTGGTGTTACTTTGAGCAAGTCATTTAAGTTTTCTGAGTGATTGTTTCTTCACCTATATATTGGCACTAATAACATCTACTTTGCATTTTGATAGAAAGATCAAATATAGTAAAGCACTTGGCTCATAAAGACCACCTACTAAGTGTCATCAACGATTATTCCTCTTTTTCTAGATGAAGAAATTCAGCTCAGAAAGGCTAATAGGTTTGCTCAAAGTGACAGATGGAATAAGTGGCAGAGTTCAGACTTGAATCTTGATCTTTTGACTCCAAAATCCTTTTCTTTTTGTGCAGTATTGGGGATTTCTTTTTGGCAATAAACATAGCCTCTTATTCTTTTTTATCCATGTACCATTTCTAATTTCTGTGTGATAATGGATTCCCTGCGGAGAAAATAATCTCGGTGTTTTACAGCAGACAGTCAATAGGTTTCTGTAGACTTGGACTTCCATGCAGCAATCGCCTGCACAGTGATAGCAGTCCCCCTTCCAGTGGACATGGTTTGCGCAGCCTCCAGCTCTCTATCCCCACACCATTCCCCAGCCATCCATGCCTTTTCTGTTTCAAAAATAGTTCCCGATATAATTGAAGGAAATGAAAACATTTATAGACTCCTTGTATTTTTAAAATGTAAAGTAAACATATTATCCTGGGGAGGGGAGAGGTATTTTTACATCGATTGCTTGCTTTATTGAATGGAAGACAGGCAGTCAGAAAATGGCACTGCTTGTCAGTTATCAAAATACCAACACGTGGATACATTTGTGAAGTAATAATTATTTACTCACTGTTAAAGTGTTTACCTAAGCCCAGGCACTTCTCTAGGACAGGGGTCTGCAAGCTTTTTCTGTAAAAGGCCAGCGAGTAAGTATTTCAGGCCTTGTAGGCCGCGTGTGGTCTGTGTTGCATAGTCTTCCTCGTTTTGTGTTTTTCACAATCCTTTAAAAAGGTAAAGACCATTCTTAACTAACTAGAGGAGCAACAAAACAAGCCAGAGGATTTGGCCATTGGGCCACAGTTTGCCCCAGTCCTATGCAACTGAGGCATGTTTCCATGTATTTTCTTCTATTTGTGTATTGCGTTAGAGTTCCCAAAATGCTCTCACACACATTCTGTATACACCTTAAAGCAACCTTGAAAAGTAGCTTTATTTATCATCTCCATTTCCAGATGGAGAACTAAGGCTAAGAAAGATAAATGCGCCAAATGAAGATCAGGTTATTGATTCATTCATTCAACAGTGATTGATTGATTGATTGCTACTATGCGTCACATTTTCTACCACATGCTGTAATAAAATAGCAAAGTCGATATAGTTCCCACTCTAATAGAGCCTACATCCTTATAGGGAAGATGGATATGCACAAAAGAATTTCACAACTGTCTAATTAATTGTAGTTGACCCTTAGGCAATGCAGCTTTGACCTGTCTAGGGCCACTTCTACACAGATTCTTTTCAACAAATTTATGGGAAAATTTTTTGGAAATGTGCAATGATTTGAAAAAACCTGCAGACCATGTAGCCTAGAAATAATAATAAAAAAAAGTTTTAAAGTTATGTATGTGATGAATATATAAAATATCTATAGATACTGGTCTTTATCATTTACTACCATAAAATACATGCAAATCTATAAAAAGTTAAAATTTATCAAAACTTACACAAACACAGATCATACATGGTACCATTTGCAGTTGAGAGAAATGTAAAGATGCAGTATTAAATCATAACTGCATGAAATTAACTGTAGTACACACTGTACTACTGTGATAATTTTGTAACCACCTCCTGTTGCTATTGCGAGGAGCCCAAGTATTGTTAAGTATTCACTTAAAATGCTGTGTGTACCAAATCATCTCCATGTGAACAGTTGCTCTCTCCAGTAAATTGCTTACTGCCATAAAAAGTGATCTATTGCAGTTCTTATGTATTTTTCACCATGTTTAGTGCAATACCATAACCTTTGAATAACACTGTGGGACCCACAGGAAGTACCACTAGTGATGTTGGAAGTACTTTCAAGAAGCTGAGAAAAGTCATGACATTACAAGCGAAAGTTGCCTTGCTTGATACATAGCTTAGGTTGAAGTTTGCAGCTGCAGTTGCCTGTCACTTTAGATGACTCATCTTATAAACAGATAATATAAACTTATGACATCAATATGTAACTGTACAATGCTGTTAAAGTATTTTCTCTTATGATTTTCTTTATATTTTCTCTAGCTTACTTTATTGTGAGAATATAGTGTATCATACATATGACATACAAAATATGTGTTAACCAACCATTTATGTTATCAGTAAGGCTTCTGGTCAGCAGTAGGCTGTTGGTAGTTGAGTTTGAGAGAAGTCAAAGTTATGCATGGATTTTTGACTGTGCAGGGGGTTGACACTCCTAACCCCCATGTTACTTAAGGGTCAACTGTACAATAATGGCCTGTTCTATGAAGCAGAAATATATTTTGTGGTACAAGTGCATTTAATAAGGGGACTTATCTTTTTTTTCCATTATTTTTAAGAGAGGGTCCCACTCTGTTGCCCAGGCTGTGGAGTGTAACCTTGAACTGCAGAGCTCAATGATCTTCCCTCCTCAGCCTCCTGAGTAGGTAGGGCTACAGGTACATACCACCATACCACCATGCCCTGTTTTTTTTTTTTTTTTTTTTTTTTTTTTTTTTACTGTGTCACCCAGGCTGGAGTGCAGTAGCACAATCTCAGCTCACTGCAACCTCCGCCTCCCGGGTTCAAGTGAATCTCCTGCCTCAGCCTCCCAAGAAGCTGGGATTACAGGTACCTGCCACCACACCCAGCTAATTTTTGTATTTTTTAGGAGAGATGGTATTTCGCCATGTTGTCCAGGCTGGTCTCGAACTCCTGACGTCAGGTGATCCACCCTGGGTGATCCTCAGGGCCTCCCCTGGGATTATAGGAATGAGCCACCACGCCCAGCCTATTTTTAAAAATTTTTTGTAGATGCTACGTCTTCTTATGTTGTCCAGGCTGGTCTTGAACTCCTGGCCTCAAACCATCCTCTCGCCGTGGCCTTCCAAAACTCTGGGATTACAAGTTTGAGCCACTGTCCCCAGCAGGGAACTTAACATTGATTAAGAAAAGTTTCAATGAGAACATGACACTTGAATCTGTAAGCAATTGGGTTAGATTATTAGCCTTTTGGAGCAGGAATTGGGGAACTATCTGGCCCTCTTCCTAAAAAGTTTTGCTGACTCCCGTTCTAGAGAAAGAAAATCTGGAAAATGGAAGGTACTGAGATAGGAAAGCATAGTACTCTTGAGGAAGAGCAAGAAGTGTGTATTTAACGTAAAGAAAAAAAAAAAGAAAGTATGGTGTACAGTGAGGCTGGAGAGGTAGGCAAGGGACAGACCTAAAGGCAGGGTCTTCATGCTTTTTTATCACGGATCTTTTATTTTATCTTGTTACTAATGGGAAGAAATCAAAAGATTTTTAAAAAACCAGTGGAGATATGATCAGATTTGCATTTTAAAAGTAGCTTTCTAACTCCAGAGCAGATAACAGATTGGAGCGGAGCCATTGTGTTTACTCAGGACCAGTTAGGGGCTGGGCATGGTGGCTCAGGCCTTTAATCTCAGCAGTTTGGGTGGATCATGAGGTCAAGAGGTTGAGGCCATCCTGGCCAAGACAGGGAAAGCCCATCTCTACTAAAAATACAAAAATTAGCTGGGCCTGGTGGCAGGCACCTCTAGACCTCTGGTCCCAGCTACTCGGGAGGCTGAGGCAGAATCACTTGAACCTGGGAGGCAGAGGTTGCAGTGAGCCAAGATTGCACCATTGCACCCCAGCCTGGGTGACAGAGCAAGACTTAATCTCGGAGAAAAAAAAAGACCAATTAGGAAACTATTGGAGGAGTTAGCCAAGCAATGATGATACTTGGGCTGCGGTGGTAATAATGGTGACGGAAATAAACACTGGTGAAATGTATAGGAAGTGGAACCAACAGGACTTAACTGATTGGCAATGCTGGGTGGAGAAGGATGGCACCCATATTTCTGACATGCGCAGTGGGTGCCTAGTGCTGCTGCTTGTTGAGAACTAGGTAACACTCTGAAGAAGCAGGCTTGTGGTTGAGATGGCCTGGGTTTGGGATGAGAGTAAGTACTCAGTTTTGGCCGTGAATTTAATGTTCAAATGCGTTGTTCGAATGGATAGGTTGAATAAGCAGGTGTACGTAAGGGGCTTAG